CATCATCTCCATCTCCATCATCTCCATCATCTCCCTCTCCATCTCCATCATCTCCATCAACTCCATCTCCATCATCTCCATCAACTCCATCTCCATCCATGGTGCTGAGCCATGGCATAGGTCTCAACACCATGAATACCTCCTTTAAAATACAGACTGAAACCCAACTTTCAGTGGGTCACAGCTTAGTTCAGGGGGGGCAGAGAAGTCTGAAATGGGGGCCACATGCTGTCCGCTAATGAAACCAATGCTAAGGCCACGTCCTGGCAACTCTGACTCCACCACATTTTTCTGCACGGCATTTGAACCCAAAATGCCTTGCAAAATAGCAAGAGCCACACAATCCCAAGAATGAGTGTGTCACAATCTGCAATTCTAGGCCCACAAGGGCAGATGAGGTCAAATATTTGGATCAAAAATTCTCCACCATTCCTGTGAATCACAGGGACTCTCCATGGACAAGCGAAGCCTATGCGGAGAGACGGCAATCTCTTCTGAATTGACTTGGGAGCTCTTTGCAGGCATCACTGAAGGATCACTCAAAAAGGGAGTGCTGAGAAATGTTTCCACCGGTCTTGTTGGCAGAATGCTTCATTTTTTCTTACGAAATCCAGAGCATTCTTTGGGTGCGCTGCACTTTCACCTCTCAATCTTCCAGTTTCATATTCAGCTTGGAAGAAAGGCTGGGCCGGCATCATAACAAGCTGCTGTTTTGTAACACCATCACATTCCTTTCGATCCTCGTGAGGACAGAGCAATTGAGAGCACAATCCTTAGCACGCCAACACAAAATCTTGTGGACGTGTTAGAGCATACCTACAGAAGTATTTATTTATTTATTTATTAAAACATTTCTATGCTGCCCCGTGCCGAAGCCTCGGGGCGGCTCACAACATTGAATAAAATATACAATAAATTAAAACAATAACAATTAAAATATATACAGTAGAATAAAATATATAGAGAGGGCAAGGCCGACAACTCCTGGGGCATGCTGGGAGTTATGCGGAGGTTGGTCTAATCTTGCGCAGGGTCATGCCTTTAATCATGCATGTACCCTTCCGGTGGGAAGCAAGCAAGAATTAAACATGCCAAGGCTTCTTAACTCTTGCGGCTGGCCCTTCGTTGGCTGCAATACACGGTATGAACAACAGGTGGTGCTGCGCCTCCACTCATGGGAAAGACACAGTATTGCATTTCCCAACATGTATTTTACCCTTTATTTCCAGCTCGCTGCTCCAAGCTGGGCCCCATTGTGAGGATAAGAGCTAAAGGCCTTCAAAGGGCTTGCTTTCTTTGACACCTATTTAAAGATACTTATTTATTAGATTTACATCCCGCCTTTTTCTTACAAAGAGCTCAAAGCAACTTACATTGTTCTCTCCCTCTTGCTCGCAGTCTTCCCCCCCACAACAACAACCCTGTGAGGTAGGCTGTGCTGTGCTGGCAGGCAGCAGAAGCAAACCCGGCAGGGATTAAAGGAAGGGCTTTATGCAGGGCATCGTTAACCTGCGGGATTCACCGCCACAGTATACAGCCATGGCCGCAACTTGGAGGGGACTGGACATATCCACGGAGGGCGAGGTTAGCCGCGGCAGGTGTGAGCCACCTCCACTATCAGCAGCAGTGGCTGGGGAACATGGTCCTGCTCGTGAGCTTCCCGCAGGCCGCTGGCTGGCCCCGTATGAACAGATGGGTGGACCAGTGGGACTGTGGTGCAGTCCAGGGGGGCTCTTACGATACTGCCGTATGAAAAGATGTCTGCAATCTTTGCAATGCAGTTTTAACTTTTTAGCCACTGGCCATTTTAATTTGAGTATTCGTATTATAATGTATGCCGTGCTAACATTCTTTTCTTTTCTTTTATAAGAACTTCTTTTCTTTTCTTTTATAACTTTTCTTTTATAACTTTTTTATATCATTTATATTTTTTATTTATTTTATATTATTAATTTTAATTTTATATTGTTATTTTTATATTGTATTGTATTTTATTGTGTTGAAAGCCGCCCCGAGGCTTCGGCAAGGGGCGGCATAGAAATGTTCTAATAATAATAATAATAGTAATAATAATAGTAATAGTAGTAGTACTACTACTACTACTACATTTATAGCCTGCCTTTCTTCCTCTAGCAAGGAGTCTGAGCTTGCTTACAAGTTTCTTCTCCATGCCCTCCTATATTGTGTGTGTGTACAGTTGCAAAGTATTGGCTGTGTATTCACTCAATATCATTATGATTCTGTTTTAAACTGTACGGAATGGAGAGAAATGTATTTATGAAGCACTGAAAGAGTTATGCATAAATAAAGGGGATTTGTTTCTTTTAGCTTTGGGGGGAAAGCAACTAACAGAGCAATCCTAGACATTTCTACTCAGAAGCAAGTCCTCTTGAGTTCAGTGGGTTTTTCTCCCCAGGTACATGACTATGGACTTGAGTCTGATGAGGGAAACAGGGGTGATGCGTAACGGCAGAGCTTTTTGGTCATAGAACACACCAGAACAGAGTTCCTGACCCTTTTTTCGACAGATTTTCCAAGTTTTCAAAATAACTTTTGAAAATTTGATGCTTGGTCCACATGGATTTGAATCGCCCTATCGAGCAGAGCAGGTCGGCGGCAAAATCGTTAAAACGGTGCACGCGAGCTGCTTGTGTATCGAATCGGATGCATGTGTACTTCACACTGGTTGTGATGGTGCTGCGCGGCTTGTGACTGGTCGTGCGGTCGCACGCTGAGCTTACTGCGGGTGGCAACCGTTATGTTTTGTTACACAACTGACGTGTGTGGGTGTGAGTACAGTGATTGACTACGTGCGAAAGGTAAATAATTTCATGAGTTCCGGCACCTTTTTGCCTACAAAAAAAGCACTGTGGAACGGCATACCTGGTATGGGGAGAGCAGCTGGGAAGCAGCTCCTCTTGGCAGAACTGGAACCCAGCACCGGCCGAGACTTGCCAGGAAAGACACATCCTGTGCCGTGCGGTTCTCAGCGGCCTTGGGAAGAGGGAGCAGGGCCAAAAGTGCCCAAAGCTAGCTCCATCGCAAAGGGCCGGGTTGGGAAAGGCAGCTCTATAGCCACCTGCCCAGTCTTGGTTTTATTTATTTATTTAATTACTAAAACATTTCTATGCCGCCCCTTGCCGAAGCCTCGGGGCAGCTCACAGCATAAAATAAAATACACAATAAATTAAAACAATAACAATTAAAATATATACATTAGAATAAAATAAGCCACCCTGGCCAAATAAAATTCAATAGTATTATCATTTAAAATGCTGCTTAAATAAAAAGGTCTTTGCCTGGCTCCGAAAAACAAATAACGACGGCGCCAGGCGGACCTCTCTGGGGAGCGCATTCCATATTCATCTCACTGCCTTGGAGTACAGTTCTCATCATCCCCAGCTGCGACGGCCTTTCAGATCAGAATGCTTCTGGGTTTCCAGTCGAAAGGCTGTGAGCAGAGCTGGCTCTTGTGCAGCGTGAAATGTGATTTGTTGGTTGTTGTATCGCTTTGGGGGAAAGCAGCCAGTTCTGAAGGCGGGAGGAGCACCTGGCTTTATTTATTTATTTAAAACATTTCTATGCCGCCCCATCGCAACAAAGCCTCGGGGCGGCTCACAACACATGAATAAATACAGAAGTAATAAAATAAATAAATACTAAATTATACAATAAATAACACCCCCTCAGTGCATTCTCGGCTAAATAAAAAAAAAATCCTAGTTAAAATAAGTTTTAAATAAGAAGGTCTTAGCCTGGCGCCGAAAAACAAATAACGACGGTGCCAGGCAGACCTCTCTGGGGAGCGCATTCCATAGATGGGGCGCCACTGCAGAGAAAGCCCTCCTCCGGGATTTTGTCTCCTAATATCATTCACAGAGGGCTCCCGGAGGAGGGCATCTGCTGCTGACCTCAAGGGGCGGGAGGGCATATATGGGAGCAAGCGTTCCTTTAAGTATCCAGGGCCCAAGCCGTTTAGGGCTTTATAGGTCATAACCAACACCTTGAATTGGGCCCAGACTCAATCGGGAGCCAGTGAAGCTGACGGAGGACTGGGGTTATATGAGAACAACGCCCAGTCCCCGTCAGCAACCCGGCAGCTCTATTCTGCACCAACTGAAGTATCCGGACCGTTTTCAAGGGCAGCCCCACGTAGAGTGCGTTACAGAAATCTAATTGGGAAGTTACCAATGCATGTGTCACAGTCTCCAGGCCGTCGTTCTCCAGGAAGGGACGCAACTGATGGATCAGCTGAAGCTGAAGGAAGGCGCTCCTCGCCACCACCGTCACCTGAGCTTCCAAAGACAGCTCCGGGTCAAGAAGCGCTCCTAAGCTGCGAACCCTGTCCCTCAGAGGGAGTGCAACCCCATTTAGCTGCCCATGGCCCCCGGCTTGTGTTCAAACTAGAATCGGGTTACCCTGACTGCCGCGCCGGGCCGTCCCGGGCCATGTCGATGAGCTATTTCTGATCCCGTTTTCCTTCTCTGTGTCCCTTCCTTCCTCATCCTCCCTTCAGGCCACCACGGAACCGCCCAAAAAGAAGCCGGACCCCGTCACGTCGGAGACTGTGGTCATCTGGGGTTTGCGTCTCTGGCAGGTGGTCGGGATCTTTGCCATTTTCGTCCTGAGCATTAGTAAGTCCAGCTTCTCCGCCTCCCCGCCAAATCCCAGGCCCTGTGCGCTGTCTAACAGTTCTGGAAACCCTTTTACTGTGCGCTTGCTCTGCATCTGCTCTTTTTCCAGCTCATTCTTTTAATAGTTTCACTTTTTATAGCTCACCACTCCAACGTCTCCATCCCGGGACACAAAGCGCTATATAAAGGTGGCAAAAGATCAAAATCGCTGAACTGCACACGGGGTGGAACGAGGGCTGCTGGCTGGGCAATTGATCCCCACACATTCACTGGGGAGCAAGGCTGCTTTGCTAAATTTGGGAACGCCACTGCTCAGCCTGACAGTTTCCAGAGGCCCCCACCCCAAAGGAGAGCCCCATTTCCAGTTTCCATCTGCAGCAAGAGCGAGTCTTTCAGAAAGTGTGAGAGCAAGCCACCCCCATGGGCTTTGCATCACACCAGAGGGGCATGTCTCATGGCCGGGGGGATTTCTCCCCACTCTGCACAATGGGGCGGATCTCCACAGCAGCAGCAGTGGGGTGGGGTATCCACCCCGGTTGTCAGTCTGAAGTTTAAAGGCGCTCTCCAGGGTGCTGATGACTGCGGAGCTGGTCTTGGATCTAGTCCTGCCCTCTGGAGCAATCGAAACAGAGCAAGTCAGAAGGGGTCTCCCAGGCCATCTAGTCTGACCCCCGGCTCCAGCCGGCTCCGCTCATGACATGCCCAATGCTGAGCAAGTCCCATTCTCTCCATGGCACTTGGTATAATTGAGCAGTGCTTTCTTGGCTCCTGTGCCCCCACCCCCCGCAGAAGCCCATACGGGTTCCCTGTCCCCATCCTAGGACTCAGTTTCCAGGCCCAGCACCCTTTTCTGGACGCTCCCCAGTGCCCCCGTTTCCTTCTGATCTCGTTACACGAAAAAACTGCTCCCAGCCTTGCCTGGTTTGCTATTTCTGCTTATTCTTTTTAAAGCTGGGATCCCTTTAAAAAAAATCTCATCTGTTTTAACCACCCAAGCGGCAAGAGCGAGACCAGCTTCTGTCATGGGAGCTTAACAATGGCAAACATTACACTGCATGGACAATTAAGTCATCCCCGGATGTGCTTTTTGCAAGCCTAACGAGCTAAATTCCCTGCCGGCTGCTGGCATTTGAATTCGGAACGCCGTGGTGGGAGGCGAGAAGCGAGGATTCACACCATGGCACGGCATGGCCGTGTTGGAGGGTTCAGCTGGCCAGATGTCGGAAGGCCACTGAACCAAAACCGTCCCCCAGGCCGCGTCTTTCTAGCGCTGCAGAATGAAAAGGATACAGGCTGAGTGTTGATGCAAATGGACCGTTGTGTAGGAAACCAGGACACAGTGCAAGGGGACCGAGCCAGGGATGGGCAGGAATGCAAGGTTTTCACCTCCCCCGCAGCCCCCGTTTGTCCGTTTGCACTGGTGTCAGCGGAAACGTTGTGTGTATAGGACCAGCTCGTGGACTTCTGTTTCTAAGGCAGCTTCTGGTTTGTGGGTTTTGTGAATTTTTAAGGAAACACAAAGGAATTTGGTGCAAATTTTTAGCACCAAAATAAAATTCACCAAAATAAAATTCAGATAAAATGAGAAGCTGCAGAAACTTTTGAAAGCCACCTTGAGCTCTGAAGTGGGGTGGATAAAATATAATAAAGGATGTGTAATGGCAACAAGCTTGGATAAGATGGAGGAGATGTAAGCTGCTTTGAGCCCTTTGTAGGAAAAAGGCATGATATAAATCCAAAAATAAATAAATAAATTTGAAATTGGACCCCGAGGGTGTGGAATGGGCTTCCACAGGAGGTCGCTGAGGCCCCCTTGGTGAGGGTGTCCAAGGACAAGCTGGACATGCACATGGTGGCCATGTCATGAGCGGAGCCGGCTGGAGTTGGGGGTCAGACTAGATGGCCTGGGAGACCCCTTCTGACTCGCTCTGTTTCTATGTTTCTAAATCATACAAGCTGTGCTATTTGCAGGGCAAAAAGCCATCTGATTGTAGCATAAAGATTTTTCCTCTGCTCACTGAGCCTTCAGAAAAGCAGCCTGGGAAACCTGAAGACCTATAAAGCTTTAATTGGCTTAGAATCTGAAGGAGCACCTCCTTCCATATATGCCTGCCCACCCCTTAAGATCTGGGTTGGGGGTCCTTCTTCGGGAGCCCTCCTTGAAGGAGATCAAGAGGGTGGCTACCCAGAGAAGGGCCTTCTCTGTGGTGGCACCCCTGTTATGGATCATATTCCCCAGAGAGGTTCCCCTGGCATCAACACTTCATTCTTTTCAGTGCCAGGCCAAACCCTTTTAATTTGCCCAATATTTTAAGGTTTAATGGGGGTTTTATAGGGGGAGAGATGCTGTGCTTTGCTTTTTTTTATTGTAAGACCAGCCTGAGGCCTTTTGTAGTAGGAAAGGAAAGAGAAGCTTGAAAGAAAGAAAGAAAGAAAGAAAGAAAGAAAGAAAGAAAGAAAGAAAGAAAGAAAGAAAGAAAGAAAACACCACGAAGAGGATGGTGGCGAAAAGGGGGGAGAAGGGGCGAAGGGCTACCTGGGGAGCCCCAGATAGAAGCAAAGGCTTGTGGGATTTCTTCGAAGCACGGATTTTGAAATGGAAGGGCCAAGAGGACATGAGCTGATTCGAAGGATTTGGGTGCACTGAATGGGCTTCATCGGCAACAGAAAGACCAGAGGGTTTCCTAGGGTAGGAAAGGTGGAATTTGCATCCACAGAGCTGTCCTGAAATTTGATGGATGTGGAAGCAAATGAGAGGAAGGAAGGAACCGAGTTAATCAGTAACTTCTTGAAATGGAGTTTCCGAAGGAAAAATAAATTATGACATTGTAATAGAAACTGGCACTGGACATTGTAATTGCTCCAAGACGATTTATGGCTCACATCCGAGGGATAAGAGAACGATTACGAGCCCTGTCTTTTTGCACATCTCCAGGCTCCTCTGCCCTGCTGGGGGGAGCTGGTTTTTTGATTGCCAATGTCAAAGAGTAAGGAATTAGTTTATATGAACTGAATGGCAGTTTCCACCTTCTCATCATGTTTGAATGCTCCTCTGGGCAGTCTGGAGCAAAGAAGTCCTGCAAATAGAAAAACAGCAGATCAGGGACCTCTTCTCCCTGAGCTGCTAGCTTTCTACATGCAGAGATTAACTCCAAATATAAATATTTAAGCTGGTCTGAGCAGGAGCAGCATAGCAGAAGGATCTTATCTCCCAGGTTCTACTTGCTGTGAGCATTTTCCTCAAAGGGATGCCAAGGACAAAAATACCACAAAGGCCCAGAAGATGCATCCCAGACACCCTGCGCTGGTGACACCAAAATCAGCATTGCATGTATTTGCTGTTTGGCTTGTCACACAAACACCACAAAAGTGTGAGGTGCTGAGCCAAGCTACATTTCGGTGCGTACATTCATAAAACCACGGCCAACCTAGCCTCCCTCTTCCAGAACAAAATTCCTATCCTGGAAGCCTGCTTGAATTTGGGAAGTGCTCCAATTGCTCATTTTGACCACTAGGTGGCAACAAATCCCAAACTGGGAGAATGTAACACAGAGGGACTCAGTTGCGGGGGGGGGGGGCGTGTGTCCTATTTTGTGGAGGTGGGCAGTCCTCTATTTGAAGGCCTGTGCAGTCCGAGCCCACTTTAAAGAAGAACCAGAAAGTGATGGCAAGTTGGGGGGGGGGGGCTGGAAGTTGTCCACAAGCGGCCTCCTCATGAGGGGCAAGGAGCCCCCCAGTCAGCCCAACATGGAGGGATGGATTGTGTCTCTCTTTGAATTACAGTAACGCATTTTAAACCGCCACTTATCAATGAGTGCCTGCAGACGGTGTCCTTGCGTCCCTCTTTGTACGGGATGCATCGCCTCTCTTTTGGCAATGGGTGGTGGCCACCCTAGCCCCAGGGAGAGAAGCGGCATGAGCTTGCCCGCTTTTGCTGGCCACAGGAAGGCCGTTTTCCGCACCCTCTTTGTGGAAAGAGCGCCGTGAGCCTCAGCTGCAAGAAAGGAACTTCAGAGAGGCAGACACGGATTTTTGCAAAAGTTACTGGCCGATCCCAGCAATCTTCCAAGTGCCACCTCTGAGACAGACCTGCAAAGATCAGAACTAGATCAGATTTGGAGGCTTATGAATGCAAAACTAGCTAAATAAATACATCATCGCCCTCCCCAGAACCAAGTGTGCTCAATTTGGCCTTTGGGCGCTCTGCAGCAACATGTTTTCCTGGGGAAAAAAGAAGGAAATTGATGCGTGTTTCAGGAGCCCGGGCCCATGAGAGCAGTCCGGGAAGAGCTGAGGGTGCCTTCTCGGCTCCCCAAGATACCCCCAGGTCTGGACCGACCCTCAGCTGTCTCTCTGGTCTTTTTAGTCATCACCTTGTGCTGCATCTTCAAGTGCCGCATCCCCAGGACCAAGAAGGAGATCGAGGCCCGCTACGCCAAGCGCCAGGCCGCCAAGACGTACGCGGACAAGCTGGACACGGTGCCCCCGCTCAACGAGCTGACGGAGATCCCAGGAGGTGAGCTCCCTGCGCCCGTCGTGTCTGTTTCACGCACCTCGCCTTATGTAGGACCGAATCCCAGGTGATGCTTCCACGGCTTGGTGTTCAGACTGATGCCCTCTTTTCCTGGCCCTTTGTGAGTGCTCCAAAGACCCACAACGAAAAGTGTGTGATGGAAGACGGAGGGCAGTGGGGGGGGGGGGGGGGAGAAGACAATAGGATCCGGAGCCCAGAGGCCAGGAGGAAGCAACCTGCTAGCCAGGGGGAGGCCAGAGGCAGGGGGTCAAAGGCAGTGGAAGGTCAGGGTCTTGGGACGGGGGAGGCTAGTAAGCCAAGGGGCCAGGAGTAGAAGAGGAACTGGGTTCCAGAGCAGGACGCAGCCCCACAACCAGCCTAAAAGTTTGGGGGATCCCCCCAAAATAGGGGGCTGGTCATCTGGTTTTGCAGGCTTTTGAAAGACAACTTTTAAGCCATTTTTAAAATTGTCTTTTGAGTAAGAAATGGGGAGAGAGAAAATTTAGGGACCTCCCCCCCACACACGCGCACACAGCACTTGCCAGCTAGAGATAAAGCCAGGTAGGGTGGGCATTTAGTAATTGCTTAAAGTTAATGCATCCCCCCCCCAAAAAAGGGGGCACCCAAAAAAGAGGGCAAAATGAGTAGAAATTTGTATGCACTAGCCTGAAAGTGCTAGTTCAAAGATAGGCTGGACGTGCACATGGTGGGCATGTCGTGAGCGGAGCCACTGGTGCCGGGGGTCAGACTAGATGGCCCGGGAGGCCCCTTCTGACTCGCTCTGTTTCTGTGTTTCTATGTAAGTTTCACTTTGAATTTGGGAATTATGATTGTTTGAATGGAAGGGTAGGACGACTCACCATTGTAAAGAAGATGCTTCTGGTACAGGATAGCTTCAAGCAGAGCACCGTCCTCTGTCAAAGTGGACACCTGGCCACCCAAGCGCAGCCTCTCAGAAAGCCTTCCGTTCCCATGCTTGCACTGGGGTGTGCAAAAGGCCACTTTAAAACACGCATGCTTAAAAGGATGCACACTTTTAAAAATGCACATTTTCACACGAGACGCTTAGTTTTCTGGTTCAAATGCAAGGAAAAAGCGATGGAAACTGAACACAGGATGGAGTGGTCCTGACTTTGACATGGTCCTTGCAGAATCTTGCAGAATGAGGACTTGTTTGTCTAATCATGCATAGGCTGGTCGCCTCATGCACAACAACCCTGTAGGGTAGACCGGTGTTATTGCCAGTGAGGCAGCTGATCCACTCCGGAGCTTATGCCAAGCCTTACAGGAGCGATCCAGGGCATGGACCTAATTGGAGAAGAGCTCGTTCAGCACCACGGAGAGCTCCTTTAAAGCTCGGAGGAAACCCTGGGGCGGATCAGCAGCTCCGCCAGCGGTGGCGCCCCCGGATTTCACCGCTTCGGTGCACCCACTGGGTGCGTGGCTGAGTCGGGAGAGGGGAACTCCGGCTCACCATGGAGGCTGCAGGTTCCTGCTGTTGCTACCCTGGAGAGTTCTGAATTCTGGGAATGATGGGAAGGGTAGTCCAACACATCTGGAGAGCGATAGGCCAGACACTAGGGAGGGCGGAAAGGAAATGTCCCATTGTTCAGGGCATGTGTCCCAGCAGTCCTGACCTTTCCCTGCGGTGACAGTAGGGGGTGGGGGCCCACCGAGAAAAGCCCCCCGGAGTTGCTTTTCTGCTCTCCTGCCTCTTCCAGTGGCCCAGCTCCAGATGCTGGGGAAGCAGAGGGGCAGGAGATGCCCCTCCCGGGCTGCCCCCCTCGCCCGATCTCAGTCTTTACAGCCCGTCCCCCCGGACTGCACTTCAGCAAGGCCCTGGGCAGCAGGGGGGGGTGGCCCCCCAAGATGCAGGGCTCCAGATGAAGGATCAGGGCTGCAGCCAGCGGATGCCACCCTGTGACCCATCCCCCCCCCCCCGAGCGAGGAGGAGACAGGGCAGAACAGCAGGGGAAGAGGGGGCGAGAAGGCCAGCTCTCTGGGGGCGGGGGGCTAGAGGGTGTCAGGTCAAGGGCACCCCAAATCCTGGAATGGGCAGGCCCTGGCATAGGCAGAGGGGCCGAGGTGTCTTGGGCAGCATCCCACGAGATTGCTTTGAACAGGGAGTTTGCCCCTGTGGGTTCCGCAGCACCCGGAAAGGGCCCTGCCCCGAGCAGGGGGTGGACCCAAAGGCCCTTGCAGCTCGCCCTTTCTAGGATCCCATGACTCCTTTCCCAGGGGAGCTGAGCTGTGCACTTCTCCTGGTTTTCTGAAGGAAGTGGAGCTTCCAGCTAAGTAAAAGCAAGCCTTCTGGGCCGGGGGGGCCATGTCTTGGCCCAGTCTGGGGGGACTGCATGAGTGGGCTTTTGGATCTAAAGCTGGCATTTCCCCGGATTTCCAGAGTGCCCCTGAAGAAGCCTGGCCCAAGCACCATGCTCGCTGCAAGGCCGAACAGGCGGCTAGTCCTCATGAGCCTCCGCTTCTGTCTCCGCTCCTCCTGTTGCGCCTTGCTTTCCCTCTCCTCTCTCACGGCTCTCCTGTCCTTCTCTGACCTTTCCAGGCTCCACCGAAAGCCTCCAGACTCTCTCTGGCCAAGTCGAATGCCGTCCCCACGGCGCTTTGCCGGTGGTGAAAGAGGAAGAGGAACCAGCCCCGCAGGGCCACTAGGGGGCGCGCTCCGCCTATTTTCTTGGGTTTTTCCTCTTCCCAGCAAGGCCTTCCAGACTCTGCCATCACTGCTCGTGGTCCTCCCTCATTTCTCATCTTTTCCTTGTCTAACCTGGACTCTTTTCTCTGGACGCTCTTTGCTGTCTCCCGGCTTGAGCAGAAGGCATTACGAGACACTTTCCCCCGGAAAAACAGGCCTTCCTCGGAGTACCGTATCTCAGCGTTTCGGGAGCTCGAGTCAATGTGCGGATCCAGCTTTCATGGTGTCTTTCCCAGCTTTTGTGCAGTTTTTCCCTGCTGTGGAAGGTCCAAAGGCTTAATGGCTGGTGATATAAGAGCTTTCACCCAAAATGTCTCTCCCCTTCTGTCTTTAACCTGCCTGGCCCTTGAGTTTCTCCAAAATAATATTTGCCTCTTGGGCCAAAAGCGGCTCACCCTCCCTGACTTCAGCCTGCATGTGCCATGGCACCCAAACAGAAGCATCCAGGACAGGGACTCATGCAGAGAGGCAGCTCCCCGCTGTGGGTCTCTTGAGACTTACTTATTTATTTGGAACATCTATATGCCGTCCCATGCACAAAAAGCCTCGGGGCGGCTTCCAAAACAAATAAACTATTATACAGTTACCTTAAAAATCTGGAAACATCTTGGCACAATATAAAACCAATAAATACAATTCACAATTAAAATATCGTTTGAATAAAAAGGTCTTGGCCTGGCGCCGAAAAGCAAATAAGGATGGTGCCAGGCAGACCTCTCTGGGGAGCGCATTCCACAGATGGGGCGCCACTGCAGACAAGGTCCTCCTCCGGGTACTCACCCTCCTAATATCCTTCACAGAGCGTTCCCGGAGAAGGACGTCTGTTGCTGATCTCAAGGGGCGGGAGGGCATATATGGGCGCAAGCGTTCCTTTAGATATCCAGGTCCCAAGCCGTTTAGGGCTTTATAGGTCATAACCAAAACCTTGGATTGGGCCCAGACTTCAATGGGGAGCCAGTGAAGCTGACAGAGAACTGGGGTTATATGAGAACAACGCCCAGTCCCCGTCAGCAACCCGGCAGCTCTATTTTGCAGCAACTGAAGTATCCGGACCGTCTTCAAGGGCAGCCCCACGTACAGCACGTTGCAGAAGTCGCTCTATGACTTCTGCAGTGTTCCCGCATCTGGCTTCTGCGTAAGGCCAGCAGAATGAGCTGGTGGGGTGAGGGGGGAATGCAGCCGGATTAGATCGCCCCCTTGCAGTCAGGCACTGGGGAGGCCCTATAGCAGGGCTACAACCTCCAGAGACTAAAATCACCCCAGGTCTCTTGCAGCACGCAGTGTGGGAATGAGGGCTTGGAGGCCACGGTGGGTCCAAACACACAGAGAGAATTTCTTCTGCATCTCTTCCTTCAGAGTTCGTCCCGTTTACTCAGCTCAGCTCCCTTCCTTTTGGACTCTGGTTTTACTCAGATAATTTCTAACAGCGCTCCCAGAGCTGAAGTATGTGCCATTTGCCTCAGCTCTTAATTTGTCCAAGAAAGGAAGGAAGGAAGGACAGACGGAAGGAAGGAAAGAAGGAAAGAGCAAGCAGGTTCTGGGGGCAGTAGATATGCCGTCTACATCATGCCTCTTTTGGAATGAAATCCAGCATTTGGAAAGTGCTGAGCTCAGGCTCCTGATACCTTTATATCAGGGTGTGGAGACGCTCACTTTAGATGCAGATGTGGAGCACGGCATGGACCATCAGGAGCAACTGGGAAACGAAGTCGGGACAAGGCACGCAAACATCTGGAAATGGAGCCGGGATGCTGGCAGAGTCCCCGGATTTGGATCTGGCCCTCCGAATCCAGGCAGAAATTCCAAAGAGGAGAACCTGGAAAGATATTCCTCCAGATAATATTTTGCTGTTCTTCACAAAGGTGCCAAACTTTACGGCACTAGATGCCTGGGAGGGATTCTCAGACATACATTGGGGCCATGAATCTGTCCCCTTTCTCCTCCCCTTGACTATATATTTTTAGCAGAAGATAAGAGTTTTAGATTTTTAGCATGCTTTTCCCATTCTCAGAGTCTGCAATGCTTCTATGACTTAATTAATGACAGGAAGAAGTGTAAGCCAAGCCATGCTTTGCTGTGTGGGGGGGGGGGGGGGGTTTTTTCCTTTTGCCTTTGGCCATATCCCCTTTGCCCCAACCACACGCCCCTGGAGGGCTTCTCCAAAACTGAATTTGGCCTTTGCCCTAAAAGAAGTTCAATATTCCAGGACTAAATCATCATTTTTAGCAGTCCTGTTCTTCCACATCCACCAAACCAGCATTCAAAGGTGCTTCCAGGTAGATATTTTTCTCCACCG